AAAAATTCGGATTAGATTAACACTCATCTCTATAGTGTGGAAAAAGTATCTGTCAAACACCATGAATATATTATTTTCTTAAAATGCACTAACCTGATTTTATAATACTTACTTCCAGAAGACAATCCTTTGATTTTGGTTAAAATTACAATACCATGTTTGCTCTATTAGCAGCGCTTGCAATTAAAGCATTATTTTGTTTATATGCCCTTCTATTAGAGATGTTCTTCTAGTGGGGTAAATACAGTGAGAGCTTTTTATAAATAAGTTACTACTGTTGACTTGAAACTTGAAATTTTTAGTCCCCGTTCGAACGTAGTCCGAAAACGGGGACTTATGTTTTGCCCTGTGTGTGTCCGTGCGTCCGTGATCACCTGTATTTCGAACATGCATGGATTGATTAAGTTCAAACTTCACTCATACATCACACCTTATGTGGGACATATGCACATGCATTTTTTTCATGATCGGATTAACGATAGCCGTATAGCGGCCATTTTAAGGCCGAAAATGCATCAAAATCGCACATTTTCACCATTCCGGACCCGGATCTCAGTTATGCATGGACAGATTTTGTTCAAATTTGGTACATACATTAAACATAATAGGACCTTGATGCATGTCATTTTTTTTTTCAAATCAAGTTCGAAATGGCCGACTGGTGGCCATTTTGTTTTAAAGAATTCAGTTCTGGATCCATATCCGAGACATGTCCGGATTGATCAAGTTCAAACTTCACACACACATGGTACATCATGTCACAAATAGATATGTGCATTTGTTTCATGATTCGCTTAACAATAGCTGAATGATGGCCATTTTAAGGCCGAAAATGCATCAAAATCACGTATTTTCCCAATTCCAGAACCGGGTCTCAGTCATGCATGGATGGATTTTGTTCAGGTTTAGTACAATGTGTTGTACATGTGCAGGTGCATTTCGGATCAGACCACTGAAAGTGGTCTGAGATTTCGGTCATGATCTGCTTTGAATGTATATGTCACTCAAATATGAACGGAACGGGGACGTGTCATTGACAATGACTTGTCATTTCATAATTTTTCCAAGACTTATCCAGACAGGTGTATGTTGTACTTTTTCTCTTTTTTTTCTTCTTCTTTTCTGAACTTATAATAGATATCTCAAAATGATGTTTTCAGGGCAGCAAATAGTATATGGGGCAAGTCTTTGAGAGAGTATTTCTGCGTTGATATCTCAGCTGATATGAATGATCTAGCTGCTGTGCTGTTAAGAGACGGCAAACAAGATGGCCGCCCCTGTATGAAGGGAGTCTTTTTTCGTCAGTTTTTACCTGTATCACCAATGGTAAGTCTTACCCATCATACATCCAAGCATATCAGTCACTCTGGGAATAAACTTGAAAATTTAAAAACATGTCTCTTGTCTGTACATTGGTGTAGATTAGAAAATTTTTATTTTTTAGCTGTTGGTAAATAAAGTAAAGTGGATTTTACTTGTACCAAATTCTATCGTAAATTGGCCCGTACAGAAAATTGCCCAGGGCTTATTTGTAGTTCAAAATTCCAAAAAAATGATCATCAAATGTTTTTTGGGACTTCAATTTTCATTGAAAAATCCACCTACGCCAACTTCCAACACTGGCAATTAGACCACTCAAGACGAGAAAAAAACATTGCAGAAGCTAATCTAAAAATTTTAGTGTCATCTTTCTCCAAAAAAAATCACATTAACGAACCTGGCATGCCAAATACAATTTTTTTTTTTTTATTTTATTAGTTACGTATTTGTAAATTCTAAGTTTCAAATAATAGTAGCGAATGATCGTGGTAGCACAATCTGGTCTTACTGCGTTTACAATTGTTGATTATTACTTAGTAGTGATTATAATAACATGCAAAAAATAAATTTGTTGAATTATTATGAATTGCAAATAAATTTCAACTTAGTTTCATCATAAACGAATGATTCTGGTCGCATATTAAACGTTTGATGCCGATATCCACTGATATGTTGTGACCTTGGACTGTGTTTCTCAACCTGATAGGTCAAATTGCTAATTAACCAATCAAAATGATGGATGATGCCAACGTGTTCAAATTACCATAGCTCATTTAAATATGTTAATACAGAATACAGAAGAGATTTGCCGATGTTTTAGTATGATCTTTTGGCTTGCATTTTGATGAGAAAAACGACATAATTTTTTTTTAAATAAAAAATTAGTTGTTTTCAAAAGATAAACTGAGCATTTGAAAAATAATTTAACATTTTTACAGTGATAACTCATTGTAAAAACAAAGCTTACTCATTCATGCTGGTCACAATAAATATACTCTTGAATAGGCATCAATGAATATGGTAAAACTTAAATTAGACTCTATTTTAGGCGTCAAGAATGATTGAAATGTCAGAAATATGACGCCAAATAATAAAACAAACAAGCAGCCTGTCGGCTGAGATAGCTCCGCTGTTAGCAATGCACATTGCAATTAAAGATCAAAAGATATCATTAGAAAATGAACAATATGTATAGTTTTCAACAAGAATTCAAAAATATCACTTCACCAAAAATAATCATCAAAATTAAAGATATTATCATGAAATGAACAAATCTGAGAGAGGACCACATGTAGTACCTATATATGTAATATCAAAGCAATTGGACTTGCGGTTTTTAACAAGAAGTCGAAAATATCACTTTTTACCAAAAATGACAAAAATATTCACCAAAATTAGAGAATTAAAGATATCATCATGAAATGAACAAATCTGAAAGAAGTCCACATGTAGTACCTATATATGTAAAATCAATGCAATTGGACTTGCGTTTTTTAACAAGAAGTCGAAAATATCACTTTTTACCAAAAATTACAAAAATATTCACCAAAATTAGAGAATTAAAGATATCATTACAAAATGAACAAATCTGAGAGAAGTCCACATGTAGTTACCTATATATGTAATATCAAAGCAATTGGACTTGCGGTTTTTAACAGAAGTCAAAAATATCACTTTTTACCAAAAATGACAAAAATATTCACCAAAATTAGAGAATTGAGGATATCATCATGAAATGAACAAATCTGAGAGAGGTCTACACAAGGTACATATACACCAAGTATCAAAGCATTCAGGCTTGTAGTTTTCAAGAAGAAGTCGAAAGAGTAAAACATTGACACGGACGACGACGGACAATCACTCATATGATGAGCTCCGCTCGACAAAGTCGACAGCGGAGCTAAAAAAAACTACAGAAGAAACGCCCTGGGCGATTTCTTGGTCCTATTTTATTTTTTTTAAAACTGTCGTTTAACGGACAGGGAGAATTTACAGCAGAATCAGTTATCATTTAATGGTCACGCGAATTTATTTAACCCATGTACATATAGTTGTTTCTTTATTTGCAAAACAAATAATTACTGGAGTGGAGGTCAATATTCAGTTTTAATGTCCTAGTCAATTACTAAGAAGGTCAATAAAACTGAATATTGACCAACACTGAGGTAACTATATGTTTTATTATACCAAATAATAAATGCAACATAAATCAAATGTTAAAGTCAGAGGCCAACAACATTTTTTTTACCTAAATACATCTATAGCATATGCGCAATAGATATCAAGGTCACTGGATTTTAATTATTGACTATGAGTTTTATTCACCACCACATGACCTCTTTCTAACCTAACAACATGAGGTGTGATATTTTAGTATATTTCATTAATCTTTCTTTCTCAACAGAATAAATTTGATGTAATAATCTCATCATATTCATTAATGGATCTTCCATCCGTACAAGAAAGGATAAACACACTGCGTACTCTGTGGATCAAAACTGAACACTTCTTGGTTGTCATAGAGAATGGCACAAATGAAGGTTATAAGACTGTGCTTGAAGCCAGGGACTTAATTTTACATGGGGAAAACTACTTGAAAACTAATAGAAGAATCAGAAAACTAGATGCTGAGCAAGATGAAGATGAATTGAATAAAGAGAGTGAACAGTATTCCAGCAATGTGGATATGAAACGAGAATTTGATAAAGCTGTCAGTATGAGTATGAAGATGAATGACAATTGGCCAGTTGGTCATGTATATTCACCAGTAAGTAAGATGGATGACAATTGAACAGTTGGTGATGTATACTGACCAGTAAGTAAGATGGATGACAATTGGCCTGTTGGTCATGTATATTTACCAGTAAGTAAGATGGATGACAATTGGCCAGTTGGTCATGTATATTCACCAGTAAGTAAGATGGATGACAATTGGCCTGTTGGTCATGTATATTTACCAGTAAGTAAGATGGATGACAATTGGACAGTTGGTGATGTATATTCACCAGTAAGTAAGATGGATGACAATTGGCCAGTTGGTCATGTATATTCACCAGTAAGTAAGATGGATGACAATTGGACAGTTGGTGATGTATATTCACCAGTAAGTAAGATGGATGACAATTGGCCAGTTGGTCATGTATATTCACCAGCAAGTAAGGTGGATGACAATTGGCCAGTTGGTCATGTATATTCACCAGTAAGTAAGATGGATGACAATTGGACAGTTGGTCATGTATATTCACCAGTAAGTAAGATGGATGACAATTGGCCAGTTGGTCATGTATATTCACCAGTAAGTAAGTAAGATGGATGACAATTGGCCAGTTGGTCATGTATATTCACCAGTAAGTAAGATGAATGACAATTGGACAGTTGGTCATGTATATTCACCAGTAAGTAAGATGGATGACAATTGGCCAACTGGTCATGTATATTTACCAGTAAGTAAGAGGGATGAAAATTGGCCAGTTGTCATGTATACTGACCAGTAAGTAAGGTTGATGACAATTGGCCAACTGGTCATGTATATTTACCAATAAGTAAGAGGGATGAAAATTGGCCATTTGGTCATGTATATTCACCAGTAAGTAAGATGTATGACAATTGGCCTGTTGGTCATGCATATTCACCAGTAAGTAAGAGGGATGACAATTGGCCAGTTGTCATGTATATTAACCAGTAAATAAGGTTGATGACAATTGGCCAGTTGGTGATGTATATTCACCAGTAAGTAAGGTGGATGACAATTGGCCTGTTGGTCATGTATACACTGACCAGTAAGTAAGATGGATGACAATTGGCCAGTTGGTGATGTATATTCACCAGTAAGTAAGGTGGATGACAATTGGCCAGTTGGTGATGTATGTTCACCAGTAAGTAAGGTGGATGACAATTGGCCAGTTGGTGATGTATATTCACCAGTAAGTAAGGTGGATGACAATTGGCCAGTATGAGTATGAAGATGGATGACAATTGGCCAGTTGGTGATGTATACTGACCAGTAAGTAAGATGGATGACAATAGGCCTGTTGGTCATGTATATTTACCAGTAAGTAAGATGGATGACAATTGGACAGTTGGTGATGTATATTCACCAGTAAGTAAGATGGATGACAATTGGCCAGTTGGTCATGTATATTCACCAGTAAGTAAGATGGATGACAATTGGCCAGTTGGTCATGTATATTCACCAGTAAGTAAGATGGATGACAATTGGCCAGTTGGTCATGTATCTTCACCAGTAAGTAAGATGGATGACAATTGGCCAATTGGTGATGTATATTTATCAGTAAGTAAGATGGATGACATTGACCAGAAGATCATGTATATTCACCGGTAATTTGAATAGATGAAAATTGGCCAGAAGGTCATTAGTATATTTACATGACAATAAGATGGATGATGATTGAAGATTGTGGTTCAGCTTAAACAGACTTAAACAGGTTTTGTGTATTTTTTTTTTACAGTGTTCACATGATTTACCCTGTCCACGGTTAAATGATGGTACAGACACTCCATGTAATTATCTGCAAGAATATCACCCACTCAAGTTATCACAGGTAATTGAATAGAATGCAATGTAAGGAATGGTGTATCTACATTGTATCTTGTGTAGGCTGATACAAAATGGTGGATGGGAATATTTTGTAATTTACTTTGCCATGCATGTGAAGTCCACCCCAATCTGAATAAAATAAGATCCTGGTTGGCTTAATTTAATTTGAGTACATTATATTTTCATTATTAATTTTAATTATTTATTTCAATATTTGTTTTTACAGTAAATTTGCTGCATTCAGTGGCTTTCACAAACAAAACAATTCTTGCAGCAAAATAATTGTAACATTAAAAAATAATTGAAATAAATAATAAATATATAAGG